GTCTAAATTCATTAAGAAAGTGACTAATCATTGATAGTGGCCAAAGAGGCAGGAAAACACAAGCTATATTCATATGAGTAAATGCTCACTAATTACAATGATGGTTCTTCTATGAGATAATGCCACATTCAAATCCTTCAGTTTCTCACTTTCAGTTAGGGTAGAGATTGACAACACAAACACTTTCAAGGCCATAAATTTCAAAAGATTATACCACACAACAATATTTAACAAATACAATATTTAACAAACAGGTAAAAACAATCTACAAATGCAAATAGCAAGAGACAACAGAGCAAATAAATACAGTAAGTCCTATGGGAATACAAATGACTGACAGTGGATGAGAAGCAGGAGGAGTTAGAGAGATCTTATTATTCTAAAAGGGAAATTGGTCAGGCATCGTCATACACCTCTAACTCAGAGCTAAGGCAAGAGGATTCACGTTTGAGATCAGCCTCGGCAACTTAGCCAGACCCTGTCTCAAAATAAATAATAAAAATAGTTGGGGATGTAGTTCAGTTGTAAAGCACCCCTGGGTTCAATCTCCAGCATCAAAAAATAAAATTAAATTTAAAAAGGAAATAGAAAATTAAAGGCCTGAAAGCAAGAGGATGGCTGTTTGAGAAAATGAAAGAAATTCCCAAAGACATGTTTTTGGGGCAATTAGTCGCAAAGAGAAGGGAAGAATAAAAGAAGTGCAAAGAGAGACTATGAGGGGTAAGTTCAATAATAATAATAAGAAGAAGAAGAAGCCCTTTTTCCTGCAGTCCGATAAATTCACTTATTATTTCTACCAGTTTATAGATTTGTTTGTATTTTCTTTTTTTAATATTTTTAGTTGTAGTTGTCACAATACCTTTATTTTATTTATTTATTTTTTTTTTTATTTTATATTTTTTTTATTGTTGGTTGTTCAAAACATTACATAGTTCTTGATATATCATCTTTCACACTTTGCTTCAAGTGAGTTATGAACTCCCATTTTTAGCCCATATACAGATTGCAGAATCACATCAATTACACATCCATTGATTTACATATTGCCATACTAGTGTCTGTTGTGTTCTGCTGCCTTTCCTATCCTCTACTATCCCCCCTCCCCTCCCCTCCCCACCCTTCTTCTCTCTCTACCCCCCCTATTGACCTTCATTTCTCCCCCTTGTATTATTTTTCCCTTTCCCCTCATTCCCTCTTGTATGTTCTTTTGTATAACCCTGAGGGTCTCCTTCCATTTCCATGCAATTTCCCTTCTCTCTCCCTTTCCCTCCCACCTCTCATCTCTGTTTAATGTTAATCTTCTTCTCATGCTCTTCGTCCCTACTCTTAATTTATATGTGGTACTGAGGATAGAACCCAGGGCCTCGCACGTGCTAGGCAAGGGCTCTACTGCTGAGCCATAGCCCCAGCCCCTTGTTTGCATTTTCTAAATACACAAACATGTTATCAATGAATAAAAAATTCTGTGTCTTTCTTTCTGATGTTTATGCTTTTATTTATTTTTCTTACCTTATTTTAATGACTAGGACCTAAGTAAATAGATGTGGTAATATAACAGAAGCCATCCCAAACTCCGCAAGAAAATACTGTAACATCATTGAGTATGATGTTGGCTGTAGATTTTTGTAAGTATTTATTTTTTAGTTGTAGTTGGACACAATACTTCTATTTTATTTATTTTATATGTGGTGCTGAGGATCAAACCCAGGACCTCACACGTGCTAGGAGAGCACTCTACCGGTGAGCCACAACCCCAGCCCTATAAATTATTTTAATAGACAACCTTTAGTTATACTCATGTAGTCTCTTTATATTACTGATTTACTGAAACTTTTTATCATAAATGACAATACAATTTTTTCAAAAAGTTTTTCTTCCTACTTCTGTTGAGATGATCAAATGGGTTCTCTTCATTCAAATACAGCAAATTACATTGATTTTCTAATATTAACCAACCTTGTTTTCCTGGGATAAATCTCAATTGGTCCTGTTGAGTAATACATTCTGGATTCTAGTTGGCAATATTTATATGTAAATTGTGCCAAAAGGAGGAAAGGCAGAGAAGGAGCGGAAGAAGGAGAGGGGAAGGGAATGAAGAAGGTATCAGGTAGGAAAAGCTGAGGATAAGAAAAACCTGACAGCAGAGACAGTGGTGGAGCACGCCTGTAATCCCAGTGACTTGGGAAGCTGAGGCAGGAAGATCTCAAATTCAAGGCCAACCTCAGCAATTTAGTAATGCTCTAAACAATTTATCAAGACAAGTAAAAGAGCTTAGGATTAGTTCAGTGTTAGTAAAGCTGGGTTTAATTCTCAGCACCAAAAAAAAAAAAAGAAAGAAAAGAATCAATCAACAGAAGTGTTAGTAAAGAAGTGATTTTTTTTTCTTTTAGTTAACCAATACAAGAGGTAAAATAATTAATAGGAGTTTTAGAAAAAGAAAATAAAGAACACTTAGGGGAAGAAATAATGAACAACACTGATTTAAAACATTTTCTCAAAACTAAAGGTCTTGCATTTCCACATTGAAGGAATCCAGAACAAGGTATGAATCAAGATACAACACTGCAAAACTTCAGAACATGGAGAACAAAGCCAACACTCTATGAGCTCTCAGAAAGAATAACGAGCTAGGAAAAAAAAAAAAAAAGTCAAAGTGGCTTCGGACTCTTCCACATAACTCTAAAAGAATGCCTTCAAAATTGGAAGTAACATGATTATAAACAAGCAGCTGTTACCCAGCCAAATTATCAATCAAGAGCTAAGGAAAAATAAAGATATCTTCAGACATACAAGATCTCCCACACATACTTTATTTACAAAGTTACTAAAAGATTTCTTCCATCAAAATAAAGGAATAAAGCACAAGAGAGTTAAAAAAAAAAAAAAGTAGTGGAGAATTGCTATTGTCTATTACAAATTTTAGAGGATCAGTTGCATGTTTTACAATTAATCTAAAAACTTTACCAAATACAGCTGGGCACAGTGGCACACACCTATAATTCCAGAAACTCAGGTGGCCAAGGCCAAAGCAGGAGGATTGAGAGTTCAAAGCCAGCCTCAGCATCTTAGTGAGGTCCTAAGCAACTCAGCAAGACGCAGTATCTAAATAAAATATTAAAAAGGGCTGGGGATGGCTCAGTGTTAAGCACCCCTGAGTTCAATCCTGGTACCAAAAAGAAAAACAAACAAAAACCTTTACCAAATACAAAAAAAAAAAGCTGTAAGTAATAACAGAAGTCTGGGGTTGTAGCTGAGTGGTAAAGCACTTGCCTAGCATGTATTGAGGCACTAGGTTTGATCCCCAGCACCACATAAAAATAAATAAGTGTATTGTGTCTGTCTAAAGCTAAAATATATCAGAATATTTACCAGGTAAATTATATTTTAAATTAAATTATATTTAATTTACCATGTAAAATTATACTTTAACAATAATTTTAAAGAAATATATTATAGTGGAAGAAATCTTCCATTAAATAGCAAATAAAAGATACCTTTAAATAGTTGTAAAAGTAATATTTTTATAATTTTTATTACTTTGATACTTTCATAAAAGTATTTCTGCCACAAGTAAAAGATGAGAAAAGTTGAAATTGGCATAAATAATTTTATAAATAAAGAGAGAAATTCTGCTTCTGTGAATACCATACAAAAGAAAGAGCAGAGTTCTTTCATATTAAAGTTCTTGTTGATGTTGATCATCCAAAGATAAAGCTGGTTTCTTCTAAAAACGTTATAGGAAAGGTTGGTCTGGAATCTTCTTTGTCAAAATATTTCCAAATACAAATGCAAAAGAAAACAGAGGGTGGGAGAGCACAAGCAATGGAGCATACCTGTGGGGAGTGGAGGAAAGGGCAGAGAAAGAATGGGCATGTGAAGGTGAGAGAGAGAAGGAGAATGGGAGAGACAGAGAATGCACTATGCACCTGAAATTTATAAATGTCATAAAGTTAAAGAAAGGTACAAAATCGCCACATGACAGCAGGATATTGTTGCTTTGTTACCTCTACTCTTCCCATTTCATGTAAGCCAATTTAATCAATAAATTAATCCCTAAAAATACTTATGCACAATCACATTGTCCCAAGTTTTAGTAAATGTCATTCTCACCAACTTAGAGAATTAACTACTATAAGAAGTCTTAGGGGATTTTGCACTTCAGAGTAATCTTTTAAAATGTAATAGAATTAAAATATTTTAATATCCTCTTTTTAAAAAAGATTTTAAAGTATCCAAACATGATTAATCTGATTAGGTCTTCGGCACACATGCAAAATACTCTTGAGTGAACAAAAGCAAGTTAATGAGAAAATACAACCTTTCCAAAGCTTGAAGTCTGAAAGATTCAAAAGTTATTTAAGATACTGAAAAGGCCAATTTAATATAAACATACATTTGAATTTTTCTACCTAAGTATAAAACATACATATTATTTAAACACATATTCATTGTTACATCAGAGTTACAAGGTTAAAACCCTGAAACTCCACTTCTGACACAGCTATAGACACAGAAAGCGGAGTCATCTACACCCGAGATAATAGTGAAAACCAAGCTCTCCACAACAGTGAGTATAACTAAGAAGGGCAGAGCATGTGAACAGAGACCTGGGGAATACCCACAGCAGGAAAGCTAAGCCAGAAGCATAACAAAGGCAGCACAGTCATGAAGAAGGGATCTGGGAAGAAGGAGGCCATGAAAGCCAAGAGAGAAGAGGGCTTCAAGAAAGAGCTAGCAAAGGCAGAGGCTAAACTGAGATCAAAGAGGCTGAAGATAAATCAAAACCACAGCAGAAAGTGAATAGCCATATTGAATTGGTTAAGATTACCTATTTCCATCTCAACTGACAGAACTAAGGGTTTATCTTGCAGGGAGGAGGGGAAAGAGAATGGACACTTGGGGGGAAACAGACTTTAGTTATCATTCATGCTGTCTGTAGTCCAAGACCAACAAAAGGAAAACTCTGAATGATTTGTTTCTTCTTAAGAACTACAACTCACCAAACTGTGGAGCAGGCAAGATTCTAGCTGCTCGAATTGGGCCATGTCGAACAGAGAAGAGCTCCTGTGCTTCTCCACTAATCTGCATAAGAGAAGATAGGAAAAAAATCAGTAAGTTAAAATGTAGGTCACATTATTGGATGAAAGCAAGATTTCCTAAATTTTAGTATGATTTGCCTGAAATATACATACATACACCCACACCTATTTTAGGCTGGTCATACACATTAAGTAAACTCATATTTAAAATTATCATAAGCATTTCTAGAAAAACATGACATTATGAACTGGAAAAAAGGTCTGTACTGGAAGTCCACAATTTTTATCTTATTAAAATATTAGAAATCTGTTCTGTTCCTACTCCAGAGCTTTTCATTTCAGAACAAAGCAACTATGATACTATTCTGAAAAGCTCCACTTAAATATTGTAGCAACTTTCACCAGTTAACTTGAACTAGCTATGCTTCTGGGACTTCTTTCTGTTACTATGAGTAAATTATTTAATTCTATAAGCCTATATTCTTTTGCAATTAAAAAAATAAGAATGAAAGGCTGCTGAAAATATCTCCAAGATACTTTTAATTTCAATATGCTATGAATAAAAGTCATAAAAACCAACTTGTCATTGTTTTTATTGTACACAAAAACCAAATGCCATACAAATGTCCATATTGAGAGACATCAGATTTATTCCTCAGGTATATAAAGTACAACATTCCATTAATTCAAGGGTAAAGAGGTACAGCTTTTTGGCTGCAGACTGACAAATTGAGCAGATTAAATTAGCATTAGTGAAGAACTACCTTCCAGACTTACTGTAAGTGATAATGTACTTCTCAATATATTTTCATAATTGTTTAGTGTTTAATGGAATATGTAATATCAAAGAAAATGGCATGAAATATAAAACTAGTTCTACATAACCAAGAATTTATAATAAATGTAATGAAGACACAAATCCATCAAAAGAAATACACTATTGATATTTTTAATAGGACTGCCCAACAACTAGTTTAAAATATCAAAAATAGAAGTGAGGCCCTAAGCAATTTAGTGAGACCCTGTCTCTAAATAAAATATAAACACACCTGGGAATGTGGCTCAGTGGTTAAGAGACCCTGAGTTCAATCTTTGGTACCAAAAAAAAAAAAAAAATAGAGTCAGGCACAGTAGTACATGTCTATAATCCCAGCTACTCGGGGGACTGATGCAAGAGGATTCCAAGTTCAAGGCCAACTTCAGCAACTTAGCAAAACTCTGTCTAAAATAAAACAAAATAAAGGGCTGAGAATGAAGCTTGGTGGTAGAGTACTTGCCTAGCATGTGTAAGGCCCTCTCTTCTATCCCCAGTACTAGAAAAAAAATATTAATATATATATATATATTATAAGAGGATTACAAGACTTCCAGTATTAAACTGTATACCTGTAGAGGTACCTTTTAGACATAAATACTTTTTTACATTTCCACCTCTTCTACATGAATTTAAGAACTACAAACTATAAATAGTTTTTCTGCCTATAAATATTTATTGCCACAACAACAAATCCTTCTATAGTACTTTGGATACAGAAAATGTGAGGATTGGTAGGATCAACTGTGCAGCAACAGCACCACCTATCACCAAACACATAAATGCAATCAACATAGTGTAGTAATCTAGCACATAGCTTCTTCATGAATCCTTTGTGACCTTTCATTTTCATAAAAAGAAAAGAAAAACATTGCCAGCATCTACTGTAGTTCTTAAGTCTACATTTTATGCATATTGAACAGAATAAAAAATACAGAAAACACCTTCATTCCATTTTCCACCCAATGCAGTAAATGCATATTCTCTGAAACCTAAAGTTATAATCTAATTTTTAAGCGTACATACACTAAATGGTGAAGCATAATGTACTCTGATTATATTACAGATGAGTTTTGCCTACTTCCACATGTGTCACTCTTGAAATTTTAACACTAGACAAAGAATGAAAAGAATGGCAACAAATCATTTATATTTTGAAAACAAAATGTTTGTAGGGAAAGAAATAAATAACAGTCTTCTCCAATATACATACTATTTCTATTAGGAAGAAACATGAAAAACACCTTTTAAAATAATACTGTATAACTTACATTTAAATTGTAATTTCAGAATAATGAAAAACACTTCTCATAAGTTTTATACCTATAAGGAATTACAATATTCTAACATAACATCGACTGTTCTGTACTATTATTTCCATGTGCCACAGGTCTGGCATTTAGCTTTTAGTTCAAATAAAACCTAATGTTAAGAAAGTATAATCATATTTAAGTGAGCATCTATACTCAAAATAATAAAAATAATTTAAAATCAGTCTTGGCATATTCATAACTTTTGTACCACTGAATTTAATACAAACTTACTTTGGCACAAAAAAAATTTGAAATTGGAACACACTATGTTCTTCAGCAAAACAACTTTCAAAACAAATCTAAAAGCCTAAAAGTCCTATTCTAAATCCCTCTTTATACAAACAGCAACAGGTGAGAAGAAAAGCAACATTAAGATTGATTATAAAATGCATCCCCACATTCATTGTCCATTTTTCATTACCTCTAAATTAAGGTCCTACAATCTTTGTTTAAGTATAACAGGAAAAGGGAGGAGGGGAGGAAGCATTGTGTCACATTTATAGATATTTGTTAATATAATAAAACCATGATTATACAACATACTGAAATTAGAAGCTTAGTTCTAAACTATCCTATGAGACACAAATATAAACTTTCCCAGAAGAGAATTCTCTGAATAATATGTGAAAAATCTATTTTAAAATATAATTTCAGAATAAATACCGTGCTACCAAAGACAGGATGTGCACATTTTGGAAAGGGCACACGGAGGACGTATACATCCTTACAAACTCTGCTTTAGCTACCATTCTAAATTGCCTCTAATAATTTTACACAGCATGTTCACTGGTAATTTTGCTTTCAAATAAACAAGTGTCAAAACATTTTCTAAAAAGGCTGTCAAACATGACTTTAAGGTTTCTTAAAAAGAGCTCATTGAAAATGGCAAGAATCTCACGGATGAGGATTTTATAAGTCCTCAAAAGAGTCACACAGAGCTGTAAGTTCACTTTTAAACCAATGATAACAATAAATACAAGAGCAGAACTACAAGGAAGGAGTGTACCGAGCAGTGTTCCAGCTTCTTGGCATCTGTGGTAACGCGGGGAGAGGAGCAAACAGGGAGGAAACCTCCCTAAGTGCTCCTCATGGTCTCTGCCTTTGTTCTTACTGGTATTTTAATTTCTGATGACAGACTTTTGTTGTTTGGGGCATAAACCGGACGTACCAGCTTGGAGGCACAATAACGAGAACAAAGAATGATTTGTTCACACTGTAGGAAAAAAATCTTTTCCAACCATAGAAAATAGCTTTCGCATGGTGAAAATATGCAAATTACATACCAAACTAAAAAAGGGGTGGGGGAATACAAGCTCAGAATCTCACAACTCAATCTAATGTAAAAGGAAATTACAACAGCGGAGACAATAATACACATACAGAAAAGGTTATAAAAGTGCTGGGAGAGCTGTAAGTACTCATACTGAAGTCTGAAAGCAAACAAAGGTCACCCACCCCTCAGAACCAAACTTGTTTCTCAAATCCTGATGTTCAACTGGCTGCCAAATGGAAAATTCAATCAAATACCAAGGATAATAAAAATAATAATTTATAACACCATGGAATTAGGACAACAGTATATATTCACACCCCCATCATCCCCTACACTGGTAAAATGGAGGACTATGGTCAGCAAATGACTTTTAGCAAACATTACTGAAAGATAATAAATACTTAAAAATGTACAAATCACCCAGACCCAGTGTGCACACCTACAATCCCAGAGACTCCAGAGCTGAGACAGAAGAGTTTCAAGCTCCAACCCAACCTCAGCAACTGAGGATGACGGTAAGCTATTTAGCAAGACCCTGTCTCAAAAAATAAAAAGGGGTGGGGATATGCTCAATGGTGAAGCACTCCTGGGTTCAATCCCCAGTACCAAAAACTAAAATAAATTTAAAAACAGTTGGGGATATAGCTCAGTGGTATAACACCTCTGGTTTCAATTCCCAAAGCCCCCCAACACCAAAAAAAAAGTACAAAATGAGTTATATGTACAGCTTAATGAATGTTCAATATTAATGCACCTTTGTTACCAGCAATAAACATCAAGTCAAAGCACATTAGGGAAACTCAAAAGGTCCTGGTATATCCCTTCCCAGTCATAATCCCATTTTAAGGATAACTAACCACAAGCCTGACTTCTAGTACTTTACGTAAGTTTTACTTGTTGAACATAGTGTAAACGAGATCACACAGTATATATTCTTGCAGTGGCTTCTTTTGCACATTACTATGCTTAAGAAATTAATTAGTTGTTGCATGTGATTGCAGTTTTCTGGTTTTTGTTTTCTGTTGCTATATAGAATTCCATTGTATAAAATTACTATAATTTAATTTAGATCTCTGTATTGTTTCTAGTTTGAGGCTCTTAATATGCCAAGAAAAATTGTAAAAGATTTTGAAATAGGAAAAAGATTACTGTGTGTTCTTTCAATAGATTTCCAATAGTTCTTCAGCCCAGTGAGTTTTTTTGGTACCACAGGGATCCTCATCTTTTCTTTGAGTGGGCTATCTTAAGATACTCTGACTTACGGAAAACTGATAGAAATAAAATTAATTCTTGAATACAGAAATGAAAATTAATTTTGTCAATTGAAAATACAATTAAATTCCCCCTGCAGAAAACATGATTTAAAGCAGTAGGGTTTGGGGTTTTGTTTTGTTTTGTTTTGCTTTGTTTAATTTTATTTTGTTTTGTTTGTTTGTTTTGGGTGGTGCTGGGAATCAAACTCAGCTAGGAAAAGTACATGATCTAACACTGGGTTTGCTGGGTAAATACCCAATGCTGAACTATGTTCCCAGTCCAACCAGTATATTTTAGTGCCAACAGGATATTAAGAAGGTTGGTATTTATCAGCAAGTTCATTTTAATGTGCCTATAGTTGCCTACATTTATTTTTCACCTTCTCCTTT